TAAAAATTCCAATATGAATTAATTTCACATTTGGGGGTGGGGGGAAATTATGCTGACTCAGGATTAACCTGCATTGATTCACTTGGGTTTTTGTTGAAAATGAAAGCATCATATTACCTTTCACATTTACTGTAAACTCCCTCTTTATTATATCTATCTCCCCAACAAAAATCTGTCTCCCAGTTGGGCACCCACTCTTTGTAAGAGAACTGGGCATACTTGAATTTCCCAAGACATGACTGTAGGAAGGCTGGTAGAATGCCATGTTCCTCTGGCTCAGTTCTCACTAATTTTTCTGCCAGTAAAAGTATTCACACAATGACCTTCCCGGCAGCTAAAGCACTTGTGCAGGCTTGGGCACCATCAGTCTGGAAAGCCATCTATACTGGTGATCATTTTGATCCCACAGCATCTCAGAAGGCTGGTCTAAGACCAAATGATCCTGTAGTCTCCATCTTATAGCTCCCACAGTTTCCTATGCTCACACCCTTTTATTGTCCTTATGATCCTAGCATCCACTTTTATGGATACACATCTCTTGAGGTAAGAAGGAAGACTGAAGCATATAATGGCTCTTGGCAGCTTCATTTCTCAGTAACAACCCAAAGGAAGTTGAAGTTAAAGAAAGACCACTGGAATGGTCCTTAGCATCCAAGAATCCCTTTATGCTTCTCTTTTGTCACTGTATCCTTAGCTGATAGGGTGATAAACACACTTGATGGTGTGTTTCAGCTTTAATTTCTGATGCTTATGTCCTTGTTTGTAATGAGTAAGTAGACATACTCCAAAAGTGTTAGCAGCACTTTTCCCTCAATGACTGATAAACAGAAGAGAAAAAAGATCTGGCATTTTCTAGACTGGTTTAGAAAGTAACAGTGCCAACCAAAAAATATGTGAGTGTGTATATATATATATATGTTTAATTTGATTTAAGCCTTGTTAGTGTATTTTCAATTTGAGGATTAACTTGCTTCTCACTGGAGTTTTGGTATCACCCTCTTTGCAAAGAGCAATTAAAAAAATTCATTAGTGGGGATGGTAAACTCTTCTGCCATTTCAGTCAATGTTGTAAGGTAATGTAGCCTGGAGCTTTGCACAGCTTGGCACTTGTTATGAAAGAGGGTATTTCTAATAAGATTTACATTTATTAAGACTACTGTGGCTGCTCCAATCTTGATCTTCTTGAAGTTAAAGGAAGAATTCTTACTGACTTAGGATATGACCCAAACAGCAGGACATCTTGAAATAAAAAGCAGCCTTACAGCATCCCTCATTTTACTGGGATAAGAAATAACTTCAAAGCAGCCTTTCTCACATTTTGTTCTTACCTGGATATACAATGCACATAAATTCTCATTAATTCCCACAAACATTTTGCGTGGATATTTTAACATAAGTTACCTCAGTGCAAAGTACATATGATAGAAGATAACAAGTGAAGGTCCTTGTTTTAGGACAAGTATAGGCTTCTCAGAAAATTCCTGTTTTCTTTTAGCAGCTGGTAAAGGCTTTGAAACTTTGGATCCCTAATATAAAAGTTTTCTCTGTTAAGCATAACTGCATAGATAAAGCCAAACTATACAAAAAGAAAAACTAGCCAAACGTAGGCACATTTGTGCCTATGTCATGATGGGCATTTTTTGTGTTCCTTTCTTTCCCTTATCATATAAAATTATATTTGTTGTATATTATTATGCATTATTCTTTTGTTGTATATAACTTCTTTGTTCCCTAATGAAGTGGTAAATGCTCCATACCTGGCCGTGTTCAAGGCCAGGTTGGATAGAGCCTTGGGCGACTTGGTAGTGTGAGGTGTTCCTGCCCACAGCAGTGGGGCTGGAACTAGATGAACTTAAGGTCTTTCAACCCTAACCATTCTGTGACTGTATGATGGGAGAAAGATTTGATCATATGAGGTATCCCTTCTACCATGGCCTCTTACCTCAATATGAATAATGAATTTGAGGGCTAAATTGCCATCTGAGTTAAACTAGGATATCCCATCCAATTAGGAAAGTACAGTACTAGCAGACATTGTTAAAATAAACAGCCACTAAGGTGTCCTCTGCCTTACTAAGGCCCTTAGTGTAGTCATCATGTACATTCTTATCTTCATTGATGTCTTTTCCTTTCATGGAGCTATGTTTTCCATTATACCAACTGACAGCAAACTGCATGTCTTGAATGACTCGGGTTGAAAAGAACTTACTTTGCAATGTTCTTCTGAAGATTTTGCCTTTTTCCAACCATCAGACTCTGCACAAAACTGCCTGCTATTCTGAAAATTAAAAGACTGCCTGATAAATTTACTCCCATATTTTTGTATTTAGAGAAGATAGTAAGTAAAAGACCCTTCATATCAAGTCAGATTATTTTTCCTGATGATGTAAATTGATTACAGTTGTGTGAAATGTCTGTTTTCTTATGGTATTTTCTAGGAAAAGAGCAGCCAGTAGCTTCATTGCAGCTAAGCTCTGGATTTTATAGAGGCACGTTATGTATAAATAATTGGTTTAAGTATCATAAGTCTTTCTGTATGAATGCCTATTTTTCACTCTTAGTAAAACAGCCAGACTGGTATCTGCTCATGAGCCAAGTCACACACTTTTATTTCTATTGTGAACAAGAAAGAGCTTACAAACAAAAATTAATTCTTTAGCTGAATAAATAGTTTCTTGGCAGCAATTATAACGGGCTCCAAATACTCATTATGCTTTGATTAGAATTGTAATTCTCACTGAATCATCAACACCTATAGCAAGGACTGGTATTTTTTAATAATGAAAAACTGAATTTTTAGCCTTGAACAGTCATCTACCCTGGACTGCAGAAATGTATCAAATATACAGCTAATGTAAATGAATGTTTTCTGCATTGCCACTATTATTGTATAGTTTGGGGAGAAGAAATATGTTTATAAATGAGAAAGCTGCTTACAGCAAATACATATTTCAATACATTTCAGTGTTAACTTTGTTTCCAAATTAGGGTGATGACATCTTCAGATGCTTTTTGAAAAATTACCCATTTTAGAAAATCTGCTGCATGATATGAGGATGGATAACTTTGGTTATGCAAGTAACTCTTTGATATCCAATTTATTAGTTTAATAAGTTGCACGCTGTTCCTCCTATTTCCTGACTGGATGCAAGTACCTCCTGGAATCAGAGCTGTCTGTACTAGAAATTCACTTTTTGCCTGGTATAAAACATACCGATTTCAGTAACTTTTGCCAGTGACTGTCTTGAAAGAAGATTCAAGGAAAATAACTGTGACAGGAGCAATAAGCCATCATAACTGTTCTTACCAAATACTTCGAAACAATATTTTCATTCACCCATCCATTCACCTATTTGTGCTATTTGCGATCCAGTCACCCAACTGAATGCAGGTAAGTTCAGTCTGGCAGATCTGGTCTATTCTTGTGGGCACAGCAACATTCAATAACCCAAACAGGTAGACAAACTCACAAGGAAATGATCAAGACTAACACCTGGCTTTCACCATGGCAAATAATAGTGGATGTCCTTTGAAGGCAATGTTTCAAGTTCAGCAAGCTGGCATTTTTCAGCACATTTCTGTCAACTAGCTCCATGGCTGCTGCATCTGAGATGTTGCAGTGTTGTCACAACCTTACTGACAGCTTTTAGCAAATACTAAGTCCTCAACCAGTTTGAAAAGTATACAGGAAATCTGGGCCCCCGGGAAAAACATTAATTCTTTGTCTCTCTTTTAAAACAACACTAGATCGACATTAGAAATGCCAGTCTTCCTGAGAACACAGTGTTAAACTGTGGCCTCAAGCCATGACCATCATTGGCTATAGAGCAGAGAAGCAGCAGCACGTGTAGACCTGGAAGCTGTGCTATTAAAGGAATCTGATCAGCTGAGCCAATATGTCTCTTGGAGATTCAGAGCAGAACATAGAAGAATGCTCTGTGCCAAATCACTCATTACCTCACACCTACCCAGTTTTACCAGACCTCTTTTAGGAAACAACAGAAGCAGCACTGCTACTACCCTTGTGTTTTTACACTTGGACACTGCACAAAGGCACAAAAGTCCCTGGCCCATTACTTCTTACAGCTAACAGGGGGTTTGCAACAAGTCCCATGAGATGGAAGGACTCTTTGCATCTCCTCTCTCTCCAGCCCCAGCTCTCATGCATGCATACATACATATGCACAGTCAGGTCTTTATTTAATGGGACTTGAATTTAGAGCACACAAGAACAGTGTGGGATTTGTACAGAAAGTGATAATACGGATTTAATTAGTTTGATCTTGCTTTCTGTGCTAAAACTGGGTATGTTTAAATTATTATTGTGGCTTTTCTTCACTATTTGCTTTGTACATATCATAAATAATAATACAGTAAGTTTTCAAATGTCTTTACTGGTGTCTATGAAGCAAAATGGGAGTGCTCAGTGGAAGACTAACAATAACTTTATTGTTATAGTACATATAATTCCAAACAAATCTGAAATCTAATGACTTTACAAATTTTAATCCCTTCACCCATCTCGGAAATGCCAACACATTTTGCACATGGCTGTTATTTAACAGTTCAGAAAAGCACAAGACAACTAATTGGGGCAGAAATCCATTTAACCTTACCTCATCAGCCAAAAGTACTGTAGTCTGGGCTAGCTGCACCAGCTCCTTTTAGTGAAAGGTTAATCTTACTCACTGTTCATCCCTATGATTAGCTGGGCTAACCCAAAGGAAAGAGCAGGAACACACAGTGAGGATCAGAGAAATGCGGGAAGGCTCTTATTCAGAACAAAATAGTTGAATTAGGTTAAGACAGCTCTAAAAATCTCACCTGGTTGTTACAGTTAGAGAAGACCCTTGTTTCATTTACAGCTGTGTCTTTTCTTTTTCCCCTTATATGTTCCTTGCATTTAACTCTGCAAATTAATGCAAGAAAATACCAGGCAGGTCACCTGAGGAGCATGCTATTTGTAAAAAAATAACATTCAATTCTCTATTCCTTTGCAGATATGAAGAAGCAAAGATGTATTATCAATGTTATTTTGCAAAAAAAAAGCATGCAAATCAAGGAAAAGTAAAGATGAGATATTCTGAGAAGGCTTGAAATTAGCAGAGTTGAAATTAAATTAATCCCTTTGAACCAACGAGCTTTCTGCCTTCCAAATTTGCTCCTATCTATCTCTGGTTCTGTACTGTGACAATGGAGAATTTCAGTGACCTCTGTTGCACCTAAAGGATATGCAACTCTGGAAAAGTATGTATGGACTTGTTAAGACTCAGCAGTATGCTTGCTTTGCCTGGATAAAACTACTCCAGGGTTACAGGGAAGGAAGAAGGGGTTATTGTTAGGGATCCCACTAATATTCAATTTATTTCTCTTAGGGAAGACATTGTGCTGTCATAACAGAGTAATTACTGTAAATTGAAGAAGCTAATTAAAAATTCCCTAACGTTTTGGCACATTGACACAAAATAAACCCCCTGAACCTTACAGCAAAGACTATTCAAAGGTACCAGAGGAGAAATTATAGAAAGTACAAGTTTAAAAATAAAGCACCAAGGTAACCTAGGGATTTCCTGTGATTTGAAACAGCAACGGAGTCAGACTTATTCTAGAAAATAGATACCCAATCTGAAAACATTCTGTAAGAATGAGCTCAATGACAGGCCAATGAAAATAGAACTGAAGAAGAATAAAGACAAACCAGGTGCACTAAACTCAGACATAATTACATGTACAGTTTATTTAGTTATACCTGACACAAGGTGTATGTTAATGTTTACCTAAAAGCACTGTGTAGAGAAATTATGGGAAAAGAACACTCATTTTCTTTATCTTCATGAAAATATTTGGAGGCATGTATTAGACATAGTTCATTCAGTTATTTGAGGAGACAGACTGCTGGGAGATTAAGCTAAATCTAAATATAAGAACAAAAGGGCTTTTTTTGTTTGTTTGGAGGTTTTTTATTTGAAATCAGGAAATTTGAGCCCTGGCAAGTCAGGGTAACAAGCATGAACATAGTACTTCACCAGAAATTCGCCATCTCCTAGTTAATCAAACCAGGTCAAAAAAGCCAGTGTTCAATTCACAGGACCCTCAGTCAGATGTTAAAGTTGATGTTCTTTCCACCTGCACACTGGATGGAGCGCAGTGCCCGGGACCTTAGCCAAGGCATGTTGTCTCACAGCCCTGACATGGTCCACAGCCTAAGTTCAAGACATGACCCAGCATCCATGAGCAGGCATGCCTGGAAGTATTATGGGGAACAGCCAGTCTGCAGGGTGCTTTGGTGAATAACTGTGCCCACAGGGCAACTCTTCTTCTGGAGTCACTAGTTTGTGGAGAAAATTGACTTCTGTAGTTGCTGTCAAAGAAGGGCTTTCCTCCAGTATCCCACTGTCATCACCCAACCCCTTTCACATTTTTAGAGACTGTCCTTTTGTATTCATGGCAGGGGAACACGCTCTGGATGGTTACCCAGCCCAGGGCTTGTTCTACAGAGTGGGACAAACAGGATAGGAAACCATGTATTTGGAATAATGTGTACAGATACGTATAGGACTTCGATCTACATTTTCAAGACATTGTATACAGCCTAATGCAACTGCAGATTACAAATTTAGGTGCCCAGTTAATACTGCCAGAGGCTCAATCTTCTTTAGAGGACTGACTGACTACAGTTCAGAACACTGGATTTTCATGCTGTATGTATATTTGATTAACTTTGCTACTCAATATGCAGGCTAGCATGGTGCCTGGTGCATTGTGGGAGAAAACCTTCACATTGTATTGCAGATATAGGCATGGAAATACATTTATTCTCATATCAAATTGTCATTATTGGCTTCAAATCAGCACTTTGATAGTTTGAAGTTTCTGTTCATTTGCTTAGGAACTGAATTCAGATGTCATTGATGAAGCTTTTACTAACTTGCCTCTGATGCTGCTGGCAGATCTGTCTATCTATCTCTGTTTCTTTCCACCTCCTCTCTTGGACAACCATTCCTCCTTTGCTCCACGAGTCTCTACTCTGTACCTTGTTTCTTTTTTCCCTAGTACTTAACTTTGAAGTTAACTCCTTGGGGGATGTTCATCTGATGTTCTTAACAAGCAAAGTCTAGCATTCTGTGAAACTCACATACCTTTGGGTTTTACCACAGACTCAGATCATGGTCAAAGTTTTTCTTAGACTCATTAACCTTTTTGCAGGGACTTGGTCCTTTCATAAACACTCAGTCCACTGCTTACTTGCATTATCAAGGACCACAGGAACCCAGTGGCTTCATGACATTTGCATAGAAAACAGTTTGTAGCAATAGTTTCTAAATGGAAACAACCTACAAGTCTTGTAGAAAATTCTGGGGATGTGCATGCATGCAAATCATATACAGCAAACTTCTGGCTGAACTCTTACATTTGTCTTGGTTTAGCCTTAGGTCTTCTATTATCTATCATTTGTACAAGTTTTAACTTACCTTTAGCAATTTTACTTAAAGCTGTTTCTCCGACAGTACACATGTTGTCACATGGTTTCATTTTATCTGCTGTGTGCATATATTTTGCTATTTTTCGGTGTATCTTTCCTAATCAGCTATTCCAATAAGAACTGTATTGTTTATGTCTGACTCATTAACCATGCAGTCATTTATATTTCACTTGGTTTTGCTCTTAGTAAAGAAATGTTTTATCAAAATGGTAAAGCTGAGCAAATAATTTACATCAAACACTTTATCTTCGCTCTCCTGCTGGGAAATCTGTGACCAGATTGCACTTATTTCTCAATTATTAATTATTTATAGTTTCCCAACACTAGCTCATTTCTTGCTATATGGATTAATTACAAATATGTTAAACAGCAATTCATTTCCTTCACTCTATAGTTAGGCAGCGAGGTCAGGTCACTTCGTTGCTGAACCCTGAGTCATGTCATGCACAAGCATTCTTTACTTAGAAAAATACTAGTGTCAGTAAGTGGACAGCCCTTGAGTGTTTACAGAAAAACACACACTTGTGTCTTTCCAGGTAAATGGATTGTGTTTTGGTTAACATTTGCATTTACATTTATCTTGTCAGGTTATGAGGATGCTAACCATGCAGCAGGCAAGCGAAGCTTTGTTTTGTACATCAGTGTACAAGGCTATTCTGAGTATCTGCAAAAAGTCCAAATGACACAAAATTCAGAGACTCTGAGTGTCAGATGTCCACCTTTCCTCAAAAGTGAAGTGAAACCTTGGTCAGGATATGGGTGCTCGTTCAGGCAACACCAGGCTGAAAAGAGGGCTGAAAAGATCAACATCTGCCTCTGTTGCCCTTGAACAAGTCCACCAGTGGTATGAATTTACCTCATGGTGGTATGAATTCACCTCACCTTCCTTTACTGACTTGCCAGTAAAGTCAGTAAAGGTAGCAATGCCTCCTCAGTGGGTTCTCTGACAGTAGTACCACTGCACTGGTCTACTTGTAAACAAGTCAGAAATAAGCTTATATGTTTGTAGACTCACACAGATCTCTCTCCTGCAAACTGCAGAGAGGAGTTTGGGGTGCTTCTCTGAAAGCACTGATCTGAATATCCCTTCAATGGGGTGACAGTCCATCAGTGACAGGTGAAGTGGTGGGTTCCTCTGAGCTTCCTGTTTTCACATAGACCGAGCAAGCTGTATCTTTAAGGAGAAAACCTTTCTGTGTATATGCTGTGAGGGGCGGTTTAGTTAGTTTTAAGATGTTTTAGTTGTTTAAAAAAATATATCTGGTCATATCACAAACACCTACAAGGTGCTGGAAGCTTATCCTGCAAGTCGCTGAATCTGTTTGTCTGAAATCTGCAAACAAATATGTAACAAACACGATGATTTTAAAGGGGTTTAACAGCCCTGAGCTGTTCAGAACTGCATTTCTTCACCCAGACCCATCCTCTGGGCCTGATATTCTCAACTCACTCTTCAGGCAGCAGTCCCCTCTGTTAGGAGTTCAGGTCACAACAGACCTGTAGTTGGCATAGAAACAATTTGAAATCTCCTGACAGGGCACTCTTCTGCCTCTCAGAGGGGATTTGCACTGCTCTGTTAATGAGCTAATAACATTTCAAAGCCTAAGGAGAAAAGATAAGTGAAGGCAGAACTATAGCCCTTGTCAACCACAGATACAAGAACCACATTGCTTCCATTTTTAAAACTCTGGCTTCTTTATTACTTGAAGAACCAAAATATGGTTCTTCAACACTCACTCTCAGCTTCCATGGCTTTAAGACCTGGAGGTGGCCGGGCAGTGGGCAAGTTCATGCTGGATTGGGTCTTCATTGACAAGGGTCCTTATTATACAGATGCCATCTCTTAAGAGAGTAGCACATGATCCCGACACCAACATCTTAAGGGGATAGTCGCAGTCGTCATAACATAAAAACGATGTCTCTGACAGAGCTGTGCTTTCTATTATCACCCCTGTTGTCTGTAATATTGAATCTGAACAGGTATTTCTAATAAGCTGTGGCATGGGCTTGGCTTGCTAAACCTGGCAAAACTGTAAGAGAAATTACTGCATCTGGGTCTGTGATCCGCATCTAAAACTGAATACTGCTTCAGGTCCCATCCCAGCATACAGCGAACAGGAGGAAGTTACATTATCTACTTTACAATCTATTCTAGGAAAATGTTTTGAGTGGCTACAATCAGCGAGAGATTTGTCTTCCTTATTCAGCAGTTACGTATTCTCTGCTCTCTGCAGAACATGGTAATATTGTGGGGTGATTTCCTCACTGTCAGCTTATAAAAATACCACACTAATTTGTTGTAGTTGGAGTGGCTCTGCTGGGAACCCTTCCAAAGCAGTCAAATACCTACATGGACTGACTTGGCTGCCTGGCTTACTACATGCACTCTAAATATGGCAGGGTGAGACGTATTAGAACATACCAGCCTAGTCACCATCTCCCTGCTCTTGTACTCTTCATAGTAAAATCAATGCACATTGTGCTCTCAGGCTGGGGCTATTTTTAGGTGGTATTTTTCCACTCAGTCTGCAGCTGTTTTCAGTCACAAGCTTCTTTAACTAAAACAAATACACAGTCCTTGGCAAAGAAGAGGTTGTAAAGAGGATGGAATTGTGCACATGAATCTTGTGCCTGCTTCACGGAGTTTTACGTAGGGAGGGTCAGAGGGGAGCAAAGAGGACCCTGATGTCCTGGGAAGCTGGGGTCAACACCTACCATTGTGAATAGTCCTACCTTCAGCTCTCTTCCAGAACGACCGATGAAGGACAGGCTTCTCAGGGCAGAAGAATGTGAGAGGAGGAGAGCTGGAAGGCCACCAGACTCAGCATTATCTACAACACCTCTCTGAGAGA